CCTCAAACCCAAGACTGGACTAAATGTAAAACATATGTGTAAAATTTCCATCTACGTGTATAAGCAATATCATTACATGTTTACTGTTCTGCCTGCAACACACTATTGGGTTATGTATCAAGCTAATAAAACCTTTCTCACGTTTTGTGTACAATTAACGCTGTTTTTCTGGTAGCAGATTTAAAATAAATTCATTACTACTGTTCTGTCTTTAGGCATCTGAGTACGAGATAGTGTGTAAAATCACCAGCATAATCTGTAGCTAATCCAGCATAAACTTGGATACAAGAATAACAATGTTTTGTGTACCAGACTTGTTGAGTAGAAAATATAAGTTACTGTTTTATATATAGTATATGAAATATATAAAATACAAATTAATGTTTAATGTGTATTATACTAAACATCATGTTGAGTATAAAATAAAAGATATTGTTATATATCATTTACCTTAGATCAATGCTGAATGTAAAATAAAAATTATCAGTTTGTGTTAACATAATGTTGCCTTGATAATAATATAAATACCAATAACGCAGGCCTGCGATGGCTTTATTGCCTTGAAATGTTTACTTGTTCTACAGTAATTTCTGTACGCTGAATCCGAAAATGATATCCATTTTTCTCCATCACGTACAGATTTTTCACAAAACGTCATAACGCAATACATAAAAGAAAGACCACAACACGTAGTTTTGAGACTAAAAGACGTAGATTTCACACAAAAAATCAGGATGAATGAGGATGCATATTCGTTTTACATCAATGTTCTTCCCTTTTCTTCTGTTTGTTTGTATTTTTGTTAACAAACACAATAATAAAAAATGTTCATTGTGGTAAACGAAATAATAATTTGATCTAAGCAAGTTTTTTCTTCCCCCATTTGTAAAATATCCTTACGTGATAGAAAAATATATATTTTCGAAATCTGTGTAGCTGAATTATGAAAAATCCGTTATTAAAATCTAGACAACTTTTATGAAGTTTAAATTCGCAGGCCTGTGTAGTCTACGTGTAACTGACTTAGGTACAGGGTGTCCCAAAAGGTGGTTGTCATTGTGACACTGGGGAAATTAACACTGCTTTTCTTGTTTATTTGCAGATTTTTTATATAACAGTACTGAGCACTGGTGAAGGTGAAGGTTTGAATGTGATGTGGACTGAATGTCTTCAGAACAGTACTGATTTTGAGGCTGGACATTTAGCACATTCCGTAAATGTGTATGGACATTCATGCTATGGCAGCCAACCCTTGGGACATCCATTATATTAAAAGTGTAAAGTATTTTTCCTATTCTAGACAACATTTCCAAGTAGTAACTGTAAAACCTTGATATGTAGATAAAAAATATATAAATGTAAAGGAAAGTAAAACAAAAAATAAATAGGCTTAAATATAACAACAACATAAGACACAAATGCCATTATATGTTAGTACTAATTTTAAAAAGTCCCCATAAGAAGTTAAGTTCCACTAACAATCCAACTAAGCCAATGATAAAAATATGAAGATATTAACAAATCACCCAGATCTTTCCTTAGATGAACTAGAATTAGGTTTAAGCTTTATATATAAATATATAGATACAAGTTTTATGGGCTTCTCTCTACATCCAATATGGATGCAAAGAAAGTTTTGTTGAACTGTTACAAATGTATATCTGTACATTTCATATGCCTTTAGAGTAGTCTGAACTTAACAAAGCTGTTATTGGCTCCTGCAAATAAAGAATAAATACCCGTTATCACGAATTTTGACATTTCTTTCTTTCTGTTTTTAAATATGTTTCTTTTATATATACATATATAGGTAGCAAAGCATATCTAGAAGAGTGGGGACCTTATGCTTTTAGACAACAAATAGGCTTACCTTCAAATGTTTATATTGTGTGATATTTAATACATAAATACAATGCGTGATAATTTTGCTTTTTAAATGTACTTCAGTGAATACATGTGTATGATACCATGTATTTGTTGTGCATGTTTATATGATACCATGTATTTGTTGTGTATGTTTATATCATACCATGTATTTATTGTGTTCGTTTCTATTATAACATGAACTTATTATGTGTTTATATCACGTATCATACCATGAATCCATTTTCTTATATTTGTTTGTCGTTGTTCAGTTTCTTTACAATATAAATATTATTTAAGCGGCTTACTATTTTTGATGTCTTAGTATTGTCTAAAGCCTATAGCATTATATATATACATACATACATACTAAATATTATAATGAAATGCTAAAACAAGTTTATGAAAGAAAACAACGTGGGCCAATAATATATCTCAAGAATGGTTTCATTGTCACCTGTATACATCATCATACACAAACATAAACATTAAATATATACTGTACTTACGTATACTATATACCTATCATGTATGTTAGGTTCCAAATAACATAGTATCAGCGAATTTCTTATCCATTGTGTTTGTTTTT